TCAATGTAAACAAATACCAGATGGGTTGTAAAATGTTTAATTTTAGATCAGTGCAAATAGACGGAGACACTCCTGTGCCATATTGTCTGTCAGTCACCACTAAAAGGCTCAGAAAAGTGGTCCTGCTGGGCGGCTGTATCCTTGGGGCCCCATCACACGGTGTCCTCCAGAATGAGGGTAAAGAAGCACGGCCAGGGCTTTTTATACTTAAGATGCTAAGGCATTTGCTTCAAGACCCTCTCAGCTGCAGTTTGTTCAAGATTAATCTTAAACCTTTACCCTGTTAAATCACAAGACTAGAGTTTTTCACAGAATGAAAATGCTGAGGCTAATACCTCTGCACTGAGCTTTAGGGTATCTGCTGGCCCTTCCAGAACACTTTTCTAGCTGATAGTAGTTACATATCTAATGGGCATATGCACCTGTATTCTAAATTCAGTGAAACATAGCCATGAATAAAATAGTACATCTAATTTAGCATTGTGTCTAAAGGAGTAGTTCTACCTATTGCATTTAGGGGACATCCACATTTCAGTTATCTGAACCTCATTGGCTGTATCTGTCTCTCAAATCTATGATTTCTAAATTTATGAAAATAGTTCTGAAATAGTTATGAAAATAATTTTGGACCTTTTAATCTTGCCTGAAGCCTAAGGCTTAGTTTTAGAAAATTTAGGGGACAAGTTTTAGGAAAATCATGAATTTTAAATGGCCTGTATACTCCAGGGGGGTCTCAGCAAACTCTTAACAGGAGAATGTTATTTCCAGTATTCAAAATAGATGTGTGTATCCCATGCTTTGAAAGCTTTTTAAAAGTACTTTGTGTAACCTAACTGCATTCTTCTGTTTTCATCAGAAGATACATGAGTGCTGTACCTGGATTATGAGCACTGATAACTTATTCTTCGTTATAATACAACTTTAAATTGCAAGTTGTATCATATGAAAAGAAACACTTTGGCTCCTCCAAACTGTAGAGTTGCTTTTTGAGTTGCCTTTTTTTTTCTCTGTCTCATAGAGGGGAAATTTATGCAGTATTGCTTGGGTAAGATGAGTTTGTTTGTTTTTTATGATTAGTAATGCTATTGTTTTTCCTCTTTTTAATAGGCAGAAAGCCCCTCATCTTATGGAT